AATTGTAGCTGTGTTTTTAACGACTGTGAAGCTGAATTCTTACAGGCCGGTATACAGCCGCTTTAAAAACATAATTTGTCACTTTTTTTTAATTATTGTACGCAGATAACACGGTTTTATTTTCTGAAAGTATACCGGGTATACCGTCAATGCTGGACGAACTTCGTAATTACACAGAAAAGTGCTATCTGGCTGTTAATGTATCTAAAACCAAAAATTATGGTTATCCGTCAGTCATGAAGATTATCACACGACGAAAAATAAACTGCTTGAAAATGTAGATAGATTTTGCTACCTTGGCTTACTGCTACACTTACACGGAAACTGTTAGCATCCCAACGTATGAAAGTATTATTTGCACTGAATAAACACTTGTGAACCCATTGATTTGAATTCTCAACATAACAAAGTCTATGTTACACGTACGTAAGTGCTGTTGGATACAGTAGCGGAGTATGGGGATCCCATACTGTCCTGTCTTAAATATATAATTAGATTTTTGTAAAAATATTCTTTGAATTATACAATCGACACGTAATGTTATGGTAAACATTGTACTTAGGAGAGCCCCGTTGTCTCTTTTGCGTAAATAAAGTATATTGAGGTATTAGTGTAAGCTAATCTCTACTAATAATTACATTTTAAAACTACATGTACAGAGAATGTGAGGCTAACCCGAATTGTAAAACGTGGGTTGCGAAAGTAGACCCATCATGTGTACTTTTTTTCAACATTGTAAAACAACGTCTAATCGACATTTCCAAGTAAGAATGTGATTTTTTTTCCGTCTCGTAAATGTGTTTTATACATACTCGTTATATATCATTTAGCATTGCAAACTTATCTTTAATAATACGATAATATTTTAAATTGTCGTCAAATGTTTATTTTGTATGGGGTTATAAAGGCAAGAGGTCTCCAACTCGTTCATATGACTTTTATATCGTTAATCGTCTGAATTATGCTGTTTGTTTTCTTCACCGTACACATTATTTGAATTATATGCATATAAGTGTTATCTTTACAAAATCTTCGAAGTCGCAATATCGGGACTTTAATGGACAATGACTTATTATCGTCATCTCTTCAGTCCTTCCTTTATGTTTCAATCAAAAATTATATATATATTGTTACATTGCTTGTTGTTTAAGTATTGGTGTATAAACTATGTAATGGAGAGGGCTTTATAAGTTGGTAAAACTTGTGGCCAACCTATTGTACGAATTTTCTGCAATTAAATACTCATTTAATCAAATCGTCATCTCAAACTGCAGAAATGACAGCAATAACACCCCCCCCCCCCCGCACTTCACCATCCTCCGATATTCTCAACCAATTATCAAATTCAATTGGATGTAATTGAAGCTATGTCCAGAAATAGTTGGATATAAGTAAATTTTGGGACACATTTCCTCAACTACATCAATTATAGTAGGAATTCGACTTTTATTTGGAAACATTTTTTTTTATTTCGATGTCATTGAGTCTTTACTCAAAAATACTTTTCTTGACTTTTTTATATGTAAATATATATGTTAGATATATATATATAAACTTTATTTATTTTACAACAATTGCGAAACGAGTCATTTCAACTTATACTTTTCACTCTTGATGGCCCGAGTATAAGCGCGCGAGGGGTCATATTGTGTAAGGAACCGGAGTACCCGGGGAAAACCCACGTGGTCGGGCAGATCTGAATAAACATCTCATACCGTGAAAACACTTACATTGCATTCTAGTCCACGAAAAATGTCACAAAATTACTTTCGTCTACTTATGCGACGTGTTTTCAACAGCCAATGAAAAAATAGGACGGAATGCACGTGCGTTGAGGGCTAGAAGAACGAGCACCCGGCGATTTTCGACAGTCCAGCTCCGTCGTCCCTGCTAACCAGTGGTCACCGTTGCGGCTCCGTGTAGTAGTCCACAGAAGGCAAGATGTTTTGATTTTTAAAATGTACTTACCCAGTCATTAGATACTGGTGTGTAGTTTGTGAGCGATGTTTTATCATTGTCAATTACTAATCATGTACCTCAGAATTTGTCGGTGTGAACTTGTTTCTTTTGCATTTTATCAAAGTTGCAATATAAGACGAATATTCATGTCTTAATTTGACTACCGAGTTTAATCGTAAAAAAAAAGTTTTAGAAATTTTGAATCCTTTAACTGTATGAAATAGAACTGAACTAGAAATGAAACGATTCCGTCCGGAATAGTTGACGAATGTTTAATACATCTCGTTACCATTCTAATTTCTAATGCGGTATATTTTTTTTGTAAGTGTGAGATTGCAGTCTGGGTTGGGACAAGTTTCTCGCCGATTTTGTTTGTCCCACATGTTTGGTTCATGTAACGTATATTCATGCGACTATTGCAGGTTTTTTTGACTTGCAACAGTGCTTAGAATGTAGTTAAAATTTGATTTTCCTTTCGGCCCATGAAATTAGAATTGAATTTTGGGGAGTTTTGTCTAAATTCATTTGTAGCTCCTAAGTTTCGGTGCATTATCAATTTTAGTGATAAAAATGGTATTAGATCAGTTATCCATCTTTCCAATGGTTAAGGCCCTTTGAGGTGCATTTTTGCACATTTTATGCATTTTTTTGCTTTGATATAGGTTTCCATAATTCTAAAATTTCTAGTTTATACTGCACTTGTAAGGAAGGGGAGGAATTTTCCGTTTGTAATAACCTTGTGTACCATATTTTGAACACTTACAGATTTAGTTTCTGGTCACATCATAGCATATTGCCAATGCAAGATCTACACATGGTTAAGGTTGTTGGTATTTGTCAATGTAGAAGGTTGTCTTTGGTCTGCTGTGCACTTATAATGTACCATTTTTTATGTTTCCTTAATCTAGTAAAGCAATTTATTTGGCGAAGGCATCCTTTGGTAAGGCAGTTCAAAATTATATTCAAAGTATTTAATGGACCCTTCTGTAAGTCTTGTCACATTTCACTTCCAAGAATTATCCAAATTTAGATATTTCAGAGGTATGGTAGACTATGTATCAACAATATAGCCATCAATTTTAGAAATAACTGTTGGCCGAAATATAACCGAGCAAAGTTGATCTTGTAATCGATAAGTCTTAGGGAATATTTGTATTGATATTGGGAGTTAGAATTGTAACTAATGCTTGTAATTCCACTCTACTTTTACGTTATTCTTATTGTTCAACTAGACGACGCAAAACTTTAAATTGAGCTAGTGCCATAGTTGTGCCACTTTGTCATATTGTTACCATGGAAACGAAGCCAAAACATTCAAATTAGTGTTTTCTTTCCTTCCGTTCCAGGCTACAATTTCTTGACCATTCAATTAACTCTTTAACTTTGTTAGGTAAGTGCTCTGATTGGGCCTTTTGCTTTTGACATTTCATTTATTTTTGTTACCATGGAAACATGACAAAACATTGGCGTTAATTTCCCTTTCCGGGCTACAACATAGACACCATACAACTACGATCCACCACTATTTCCTGTATGTATTGGGTTATTCCATACTTCTTTCTTACTGGACATTTTTCGTTATCATTTTTATTGTGAATTTGTATGATACTACAAAGCATAGTGTTGCATAAATTTGTTTATGGACAATACCAAGCTCTATTCAAGTCTCGACAGTCAAACGGGTTTTCCATAATTTTGTTAGTAGTAGGCCGTGTAGTGAAAGTAGGAGGCTGGCCTGCTGTGTGTGTAGTCGTGTACGGAACATTATGGGACTGGATTGGTGTAGGCGGCCAAATGATCAAAAGTAGGCGGTCAAATTGGCCGGCGACCGGCTCTTCTGGAAAACCCTAGTCAAACACCGGATTACACACTAACATAAACTCATGCTATAATGTTTACGTATGACTTGAATTCGAGATGCAAGGAAATTTGATAATTGACAAAATGTGTTGCATTTTGCACTAGCGTTTTCACTGTATTGATTCTTAAAGGTGATGATAGCATTACATAATTGAGTCGCAAATGGTTATACCCGTGTATATATTTTACAAATAGCTGGATACAGCAGATAGTGAATGCCATGCTTCGACTCCTTTTCCTTTTCGGACATAATGCAAATTGCAATGCACTATTTATGCCCAAGAGGTGGAGTGAAAAAGTTTTAAGCGGTTAGACACCAATCGGTGTCGTTGCTTCCACATGCAGTGCCTAGTTGCTCTAGTTTGAAGTTAAATGGCAAGCTGAGCTCGTGTCATCAGACAAGCTACCATACCAATATAAACTTGCTTTTGCTGTAGTTTGACTGTCACTATAGTAGATCACTCGGATGTGCCATTTATATAAATACCAGCAGTGTATCATAGTAAGGGTATAAAATTTTTAAGTTAACCTTTAAAATCTTAATTGCATTGTGATGGTAAATTAATATAATTTAATGACATGAACAGGTCAACTTACCACGTATACTTACTGGATCTAACGTTCCAAGAAATTCATGTTGCAATGTCAAACAAGTATCGGGAATTTAGAAATCGCTCTCATTCCTGTCTCGGTTGAATTGAAAAACTTCACAATTTAGTGTTTTGAACATCTTGTTAACCAGAAATTCAGACTCTTTACATCAAGTTTATATAACATGTAAAAATGTGAAATATCATTTGAAGCAGCCAAGCGATATTGTGAAATTCCATTTTAAAATTTAACCTTTGCAGTTGTCTTTCCTCTGCTTAGGAAGTGTTTATAATTAAGAAATATCTGTGGCCATCTTTGATTTCGACAGGTTAAGTTCTCATTTCTTGAAGTGTTCTTAAAATTGTTTGTCCAGTATAAGTGACATTATGGTGAATTGGTGGCAGCTTTGAGCCTGTCGAATTGAATGTTTGAATTGGGTCATCCTAAAGTGGTCCTGAATGTGTGTTACCCCATAGTATTTCGTGATCTTGTGTGAAAATCCTGAATATTTCCCCTCCCTTTTCAATATTCCCCATTCTTTATAGAACTGCATGAAACTGAAATGTTACATTGGTTTTCCAGCCGGAGGAATGGCTCTGTCAACATTAGGAGTGCTGATAATAGCGGGTTTTGTACAGTGTGGTCTCGCTGATAGTAAGCATATACTTTCCTCTATAGCACTGAACCTTATAAATTTTATCCCCTAATCTTATAATTCAAATTTCATTTTGAGGTTCACCATGACAATCTTGCTTCAAATGCCACCAAATTGACATTGTTCAACTTTACAATGTATATTACTTCTGGGGCTTGTTCAACTTTAAAATGTTTATTAATTCTGGGGCGTGGCCAGATATTTTGTATATTATCTTGCTGTCTCGTTTGATTGGAAGAATTGGAATAAACCAATATTTGTAAGATGTCTTTTCTGATTTAATGCAACCATTTTTCAGTGTTGAGCTATGGCTATGAGGTGAGAGAAAGAGGAGATTTCTACGGTAAATTTCCTGGCGTACTCCTCCCAACAGCATGGTTAAACAAAGACATTCCCCTTGCTCGGGGGGGAATGGTGTACTCTGTTCAGTTTAACGTGGAACCTGGCATTACTGGCACATGCACTGGCAGCATTCTTGTATGGAAAGAAGTCACATCAACAGAATATTTATTGGAGTATATGCAAGACATCATATACGATAATGCAAATCCTGGTATTCAAGAGGTATGTAGTGGTAGGATAATTAGGTACAATCAATTTATCCAATTGTTTAACCTTATCTGATGCAATGATTTCAATTCTTTTATAATCTATTATCAGTACCTTAGTATTTTGTTTAAACAAACGATTGTATATTTCTAGACTATTGTTAATGATAATTCTAGTTAAATGAGGTATATTGGCTTAGTTACTAATTAAGTATGACATTAATGAATACATTTCTATGAATATTGAGTATAGACATCTGATTATGTAATCAATTAACTACAGCAGAAAGCCTAATAATCGTATGGATTTTGGATTTTAAGTTTTCCCATCATCGGTATATTATCTTCCAATATTTTGGTATGGAATGTTTTTATTGACTTTAAAAAGTTGAAAGGTGTCTGTCCTGTAAATAGCACATTTTTTTATTTTCAAATTTAGTTTCATCGAGTGGTGGAGCACTAAATAATGGAACATAAGTAACAATTTCAACTTTTCCTGCACTTAATATCTAGGAATTAAAGGATACTATATACCACATGATACCACATGTGGAAAAAAGTTGAAGATGTCTTGTGAAAATTTACTTGTCAGAATTCTTTACTAAGGATGAGAGCCATGACGAAGTTATCAGAAAAAAGTTAAATACACAAATGTAGTAAAAATATACAAGGGAGATTTTCTTGATTTGCCTTTTACACATCAACCCAAAAATGTCGCGCTCATGGTGTTGATGGCCTCCCACCTTAAAATGTAAATCATTGTGTACAAAGTGTATTAATTGGAGTTGCACTGTTCGCAAACGACTGTTACCCACTCATTATTTGAGACTAGAATTGCATATCAACCATTTCAGAACTCTTCAAAAATGCCTTGCAACTTATCACATGATCAGATTAGCATTGTAAAGTTAAATGCGATTGTCTCTGCAAATTCCTAACTATGACAAAGTGAATCTCTATTTCAGATTCACAATTTCACTTAATGGTATAAATGTTGCATTGGAGTTTTGATGAAAGTAGCTATTTTTAGCTTGATACTTGGCTATATTTCTAAGTGCCTAAGCTATCATACTCCAACCTGAAAAATACTTGGTACCTACACATCTTTATCTCTGGGAGTCAAATTTCACCTACATTTTGTCAGTTGGGGGCATCGTTACAAATTTAGGTTTTAGTAGGAAGTTTTTAGCTCTATATTGAGCTAGAGTTAAATTTTAATGTGTGGTTGCCTTCTCAACCCTTTGACTTCACCCCTTGTCATATAGTACTACAGCTTAATGGTGTCCTAGAGTTATTCACCCCAATTTAAAATATTTCGGCAGAAGAGTGCCTTGGAACATCATGCATTGTTATACCAACATTAAATGGGAGTTTTAATCCCAATAATGGAGAGGCAGATACAGCTCGTAATTCCTAGTATCTGCATGCAACCTGTAATGTAAACAATGGTCACCTTAATTAGAAATGTTATCACAAATTTGTATCCCTAAACTAAACATTTCTTTTCAATGTCTGAAATTCTTCAGTGCCACAAGTGATAGGAAGTGTTCACTTTCCTTGACATCGGGGGAAGCCTTCCAGCAAAGGGACTTTCATTAGGTCATCACTCCCATCTCCATACATTTCTCTAAACAGAAACCCATCGAGTGCCAAAGACAAAGTTAAGAAAAAAGCAAAGAAACATTGGAAGACAACAAGCTTTTATAATAGATGTTTCTGTAGATGTTTGCTAGCTTCGTCTTTGAAGCACCTGGCTATACTTTAAGCTTGACTGTGCCTGGATATTGTTAGTAATCTTATTAATTATAAATATAAATAAGTGCTGTGATTGAAGCTCAATGTGTCTTGCTATTGATTTACCAGGTCAACCGATCAGTCTGTTCAACTTCTGAAACCTTTCGACCAGTTTTAAAGGTTCATGTGATTATTGTCAAGATAAACCAAAACGGCAAATTAAATAGTCCTCTCCCCCAGAATTTGGATGGCACAAAGGTTTCAAATTGGCTCCAAATGTTTCAAATTGCACATTTCATGTGCATTAAGCATTTCTTTCTTTTGGATCTTAACATAGGATAACGGTTTTGTTCAATATCTGCATTATATGAAAGATTACATCCATTACCTGTTGCAGTATACAACTCCAGGACTGTTAGTCCCTTGAGCCTCAATTTTTGATAGGACCCCCTGTAATACACTGGTGTTGCTTATAGGTTAAACCTATAAAGACTACATGTATGGAGAACTTGCATTGAGGGTAAAATTGATAAATTTGACAGGTCATAAACCCACCAGGAATGTCCATTCCTGTAGGATATTAAACTAAAACAAAAGAATGAAAAGATGCAATGAAATAAAATGTGATTCCTGAACATAGATTACCAACATTGTTTTCTGAGCAATAGTACGCGTTCAGCCGAAGCCGGGTGTCATCAATCTCCTCATACTCAACGTGTTTGTTACCTGTTAAGAACTGTTAATTATCCAATTAGCCAAGACTTTCATGCTTAAGTCTGATACCGGTGTGAATTTGTTTACATAAGGTAATTAAATATGTTAGTGTCAAGATGATTGGTTTCCTAATTATCAATGGATCAAACCACATCAACTGTTTCATCGCGGTAACCAGTAATCAATTAATCTTTCTGTAGAAAATTTTTTTTTTTTTTAAAATCTGACCCCAAAAAAGTACCTGCGCACTATACCCGCAAATTTACGGTATTACCATCAAAGATGATGAATTTATATAAGTGCAAAAGACTGTACAATCTTTAAGGATTAAATTGTACCCATTTAGCTTGTGATTGTATTTTTCTGATATAAACACATTTTTTAATGTTAATCTGATCAAATTTAACCCCTATCTGTAGATATAACTCCTATCTCTAAACAGACTAGTCTATGTAAGTGTTACAACCTCCTGAAGGTATGGATTGAATATTAGATTTGATTAAGAAATGATTGTGCAAACATAGCAATATCATAGCTTTGTTTACCTTTTCTAAAAGTTGTGACACTCAATCTGCCAAATCTAGCAATTTGATCCTTTTAATCCTAGTTGTATTGTTTTCGTAGGTTGTCTTTACTACACCATATCAGTTGTGTTACGATGCCGACAGCTTTATTGGATGGAGTTTCAATGAACTCGTTGGTCCGATCTCATTGACTGCTGCAGAGAGTAGTATCAACAAGACTCATTTGACATACATGCAGTCAGCTCTTGTCAAAGGCACAATCTACGATACATTTTTCACTGCACCTTATAGCTTTTCATTTGCAACAATGGTGAATAGCACTGGAGGTAAGTTCATTAAATTGTGACTGTAAATTGGAACCCAAGGTCTGGAGTGCAAAAAAATACGGCTTTCATTCACTCAGACTGCTCATGTGATTTAACTTTCTATTGTGTAGTGGCATTGTGGTGCCTTCAACACTTAAACAGAATTTAACGTGAATTCTAGTTTTTCAGTTAATGGTTTTTTTAAAAATCTTACCACATTGTTAAGTTCAGTATGGTACAATAGCCTTGTATTTTGCAGGCGACAGACCCTCATCAGTAAGCTGTGGCAACTGCTTTGTCGGACCTTCAGGAGCCCAAGGTGAGAATGTTTTACCTTTATAACGCTACTCCTGCCTAATGTCTGGGTGATTTCACTTCATTTCGTCAGACATTAGGGAACGGCTAATGTCCATAAGTGATCCTAAAATTGGACCCAACCGTTCATTTTGGTTCCAGATAATATATAATCCAACACTAATCTTGAACAAATTACTAGATTCCATTGGTATAAATATTTAATGTTTATTTAGGAAAATTTCTGTAGCCTGTTCGACCTGGTGGCCACACAAGCCCGTTTTGTGACATGATTGCACAACTGTTACATGAACATAAAATTTATAGGTTTCTGATACTTTTAAGGAATTTTCAAATTTTGAATTCAGATTTGCTGGACCATCAACAAATTTGTTTTTCTATCCAGAGTAGTTTACAACCATTGACAGGAAAATTTGAACATTTTATCTTTTATTGGAAGTAGTTTAAACTTTTAATTGCTACTTCAGTTTGACAATTTATGCAAACATTGACCCAGGCTGGCCCCCAATGGCTGTTTGGGAGAGTAGGGGACAATATGGGCAAAATTGACAAATTCAAAATCTTCCCAATACAGATGAGGTAAAACCAAATGCTCTTTTTGAATGAGTCTTAGTGCTTTACCCATATGGTTATGTTGAAGAATTATCAACAAATCTTGCTATAAGAATCATATTTGAGCATAATATAATTTTCCCTTAAATAGTTAGTACTTTGTTTGAATTACTAGTATAAGATCAATTTATGTGCACATTGATCTTGGCTGACCTTGTTGGGCTGGTGGGTGTTAAGGCTATCAAATTGATTGATACCAAAATGATGGAATTATTGAATAATTATTGAATAGTTATTGAATGGAAAAGTGTATAGGAAGATTACATTTTTGGGTGCAATTTCAATTTTAAGATTTGGTTTGAAGCTTTAAACATGGAAGTCATTTGATGTTATGTTTACATTTGCACTACTTCTGCAATGTAGGTAACATTTCAGTTTAGTTACTATGGAGATTTGTGGATGTAAAAATCAAATTGAAAATAAGTACTTTAGCAGGTAAGTGCAGAAACATTTAGATTAGTTTTTTAGGTGGAAGCATCACCAGATTAAGTGTATTAGAAATTGTGAGTCAAGAGTTTTGTATATTAAAAAATTTTGAATAAAATGCAACAAACTTTTGAATTAACATGGGACTTGGTAAGGCAAAATATATGGATCGATAGGTAAGGCATAAGTTATTGCCAAGTCTCTAAGGAGACCACTGCATGTGGGAAGGAATGAGGTTACATAATAGCATTCCTTGTGAACAGTTGGTTTTATAGGAATATTGCCCTTCACAAATTTTCTGAGGGGAAAATAGATGTCCTCTTCCAGATGTTGGAGTAATTGGGCCTTAAAGGGGAACTTTTTTTGTGTACATTTATGAAATGGTTATTTTGGAAGTCTTGAGTTAACTATGATTTGATTTATGCATCCTTGTCCAGCAAATTGATAAAATTTCTATGGACTAGAATCATACAATTCCACATGGGAAACAAATACTGTAGTTTCAGAAATGAAAGAACTGGTTTTTATGGAAATTGCTTATATTTAACTTGCACGAGTTGGACTGGCAACCCAGAATTCACTGTTTTGCATTTTTGGAAAAGTTGTTCCAACTAGTACTGATCACTTATTTGCCCAGATGGAAGTTCATGAGTGGTCCTAATGTGGGAGGATAGGTGGCTCCATTTTTAGTTCCTTTTGGGGAATTGAACCCTAGACAAGGTCAATGCATTACCGCTAATATTTTACATTTTCCTTGGTTGTCAATTGCTCAAGCCTTGGCTATCCTTGATACAAAATTCTGTCTGTTATAGGTCCTACTGGAAGTACTGGGGTAATGGGACCTGTGGGAGAGACTGGAATTACTGGTTACACTGGTTTCACTGGAGAAAAGGGTGTAGGTGGTGAAAAGGGACAATTTGGAGAAACTGGATGGACTGGACCAACAGGAGTGACTGGAGACACTGGTGTAGGGTATACTGGAGAGACTGGAGTAACAGGTGCTGAGGGTAGCACTGGTTTAAAAGGGGCGTTGGGAGAGACTGGACTCAAAGGAGACACGGGTGCAATTGGTGCAACTGGACAGACGGGAATAAGAGGTGAAACTGGTGTGAAAGGAGTTGAGGGAGAGACGGGACTATCTGGAATCAAAGGTGAAAAGGGACAGTTTGGTGTTTCTGGTATTAAGGGACAGCTAGGAGAGACTGGTCAGAAAGGAGACTTGGGTGAAACTGGTAGTAAAGGTGAAGGACACACGGGTCCAGTAGGTTCAACTGGCTTAAAGGGAGAAAAAGGTAGACTTGGAGAGACTGGTATAGAAGGACCAACGGGTGAAGTTGGTATACAAGGATATACTGGTGTAAAGGGCGATACTGGAGCTGTTGGTACAACAGGACAGAAAGGTGACACTGGAGCAGTTGGTAGCACTGGTCTACAGGGAATCACAGGATTGGTAGGTGCTACTGGACCTTCAGGTGGAGAAAAAGGTGAAAAGGGAGACTCGGGATCACAGGGACAGATAGGACTAACTGGATCTGTTGGAAGCACTGGACTAACGGGAATACAAGGTAGGATATAGCAACATACAAAATTTATTCACTACTAGATACACGATATTGCTATTATAGATGTGTAATTGCTTTATACATCTAATCCTTACATTTTGGGTAGGGATGGCATAATTTTGCCTATTCGTCCCAGTGTCCTAAAGTAATGACATTAGCCCCTTTATTCCTTCATATTCCTTCAGTGATTTTGATAACTAACATCAGCTTTGAGTAAATTGATTTTTAGATATGGCAAATGCAATATAGTACATTGCCATTTAGTTGCTGTTTTTACAAAAAATTAACATTGCAAATGTTTAGCAAGGGAGGCTATAGGGCCTTGGCTTGCAGATCTATTTGGATAATGTTCAGCTGCTGACAAGATTGTTTACATTTCTGATTGTGTTCAATTGTCCTAGATTTGTTTTTTGAAATGCCAACATGTTTAAAGTTGGTCATAGCTCTACAATGGACTGTAAATTGGCATTTGCCTTCATACACTTTCATGTGTAGATGCTAGATGCATTCCGTATAAATTTCCAGTTTACAGCCTATTTACAGTAATGTACATGGGGCACAATTTGAAATTGGAAATTCATTTATCCTAAGTTTTGTGAGAAATGACAAGTATTCAACAATCCCTGCAAACTTTTGTACACAAGCAGTGACATCAATTTTTGCCTCTTTTATTAAGAGATGTACTATTGGGGATACAATGCAAATTCACACATTGGGATTTGGAATACTTTTGGTGAATCTGCTAATCCCTTCATTATCAAAGCATAATTTCATGATCGATCATATTTAATTTACAGAAGTTAATTCACTCTTGAACATGGCTAAAGTGGAAATTTATCTAATGTTTTATATAAGTTCATTTGATTTGTCAATCATTACTAAATGAGAACTAACCATCCCCATCAATTGAAATGTAATTTGCCCTTTAACTTTGCAGGTGCCACAGGACCTGTTGGCAGTACTGGGGCAGTAGGAGTTAGTGGAATCACTGGCAGTAAAGGAGATACAGGTGCCACAGGTGTCAAAGGAGATGCTGGTTCTAAAGGAGAGGTAGGTGATGTAGGAGTGTCTGGTAACACGGGTGTCGCTGGAGCAACAGGACAACAGGGAGACAAAGGAGTTGTTGGGGATACTGGACCAGTCGGGTCTACTGGTGTGGTTGGCGATACTGGAAGCAAAGGTGAAAAAGGAGCTGATGGTATTGTAGGGTCCACAGGCCAGGTGGGTGCTACAGGTTCTAAAGGAGACGAAGGTAGCACAGGAATTCAGGGATTGACTGGACAGGTTGGAGCAACAGGCTCTGTAGGGAACACTGGTGCAAAAGGATCCATAGGCGACACAGGAATACAAGGTCAAACGGGACAAAAAGGGCAAACAGGAAATACTGGCATTCAGGGTTTGACAGGACTTGTCGGAAGTACTGGTGTTCAAGGTTCAACTGGGTCTACAGGAGCTAAAGGAAATACAGGATCAGTTGGAGCTACAGGTTCCATTGGTGCATCTGGATTTACTGGCTTAACTGGCGACACAGGACCCAAAGGAGAGCAGGGAGTTGTTGGTGACACTGGAAGCAAAGGAGAAATTGGATCAACTGGACTTATAGGTGCAACAGGTGCAGTAGGTATGACTGGGTCCAAAGGTCAGACTGGTGACACTGGCATTCAGGGTGTTACAGGACAGGTTGGAAGCACAGGATTAAAAGGAGAAGTAGGGAGTACGGGCCTAAAGGGTGAAGTAGGAGCAACTGGTGTTCAGGGATCAACTGGTTCAGTTGGTGACACTGGTATACAGGGAGTTGCTGGAGCAACAGGACAGCAAGGTTCAAAGGGAGATGTCGGAAACACCGGATCAACTGGGGAAAAGGGGGCCACTGGAGAACAGGGCATCACCGGAGTAGTTGGTAGCACTGGTAGTACTGGACAAGTAGGTAGCACTGGTCTTAAAGGACAGACTGGTGCTACAGGAGACATTGGACCCATAGGAGACACAGGAATTGTAGGTGCAACAGGACAAAAGGGAGATCAAGGAAATAAAGGAGACACTGGAGCCACAGGTGGAGTTGGAGCAACGGGAAATGTGGGGAGCACTGGACAGATTGGAGCAACTGGACAAAAAGGAGACCAAGGATTAACTGGAAATACTGGTGCACAGGGACAAATTGGAAATACAGGTTCAAAAGGACAGATTGGTGACACGGGTGTTAAGGGTGATACTGGAAGTCAAGGCCCAACGGGAAGCAAGGGTGATGATGGTGCTCAAGGTATACAAGGATTAACTGGGCAAGAAGGAAGCACTGGTGCTACGGGGCAAGTAGGAGACACTGGCATACAAGGGGTTACTGGACAGGTTGGTGATACTGGTGTTAAAGGTGAAGTTGGAGAGACAGGACTACCGGGAAATGATGGTAATACTGGGGCCACTGGCATACAAGGTCAGACTGGGACTGTTGGTGCTACAGGTTCCACTGGAAGTGTTGGTGCCACTGGATTGAAAGGGGAAACTGGAAATGTAGGAGCTACAGGAGTAGTAGGAAGCACAGGACAAAAGGGTACAATAGGAGCTACTGGGATACAAGGAAACGTGGGTAACACGGGAGAGAAAGGTAGCCAAGGCATAGAGGGACAAACAGGTGCTACTGGAGTAAAGGGAGACCAGGGAGTCCAAGGTATTGTGGGACAAACTGGATCTTCTGGGGCAAAGGGACAATTTGGAACTACAGGCATACAGGGTGTGACGGGAGATAAAGGAACAAAGGGCGAAATTGGATTAACTGGATCTGTTGGGGCCACTGGTATACAAGGACAGACAGGAGTTTCAGGGTCAAAGGGAGATCAAGGAAACATTGGTAGCACTGGAATTAAAGGTCAAACCGGTCAAACTGGAGAAACCGGTTTGCAAGGAGTTGAAGGAATTACAGGGACCACAGGAGCAACAGGAGATGTAGGTAGCACTGGACCAAAGGGTCAGACTGGAAATACAGGAGCAGTAGGTGCTACAGGTCAAATAGGCACATCCGGACAAAAGGGTAGTAAAGGAGAGATTGGCATTGATGGAATCACTGGATCAATAGGAGACACTGGACCTGTTGGATCAACTGGACCCAAAGGCATCCAAGGCTCAAAGGGCGATGTTGGTAGTACTGGTGTGCAAGGGCAGATTGGTTCCACTGGTGATAAGGGCGATGTTGGCGATACAGGTTCCAAAGGGGAAACTGGTGCAGTTGGTGCTACAGGATCGAAAGGAATTGCTGGAGATATAGGTAACACTGGACAGAAAGGAGATGTTGGAGCCACTGGGTCTATTGGTATCACAGGTAGCACAGGACCTAAAGGACTGAAAGGAGGTGTGGGTGCCACAGGTGAAAAGGGTCAAATTGGAAGTACTGGGCAAAAAGGGCAAGATGGACAGAAAGGAGATCAAGGTGATCAAGGTCAAGTTGGAGCTACAGGAACACAAGGTGTTGAAGGCGTTACTGGAAATACAGGCCCTAAGGGAGAGGATGGTAATACAGGAGTTCAAGGCTTAGAAGGACAGACCGGAAGTGTTGGGGCCACTGGTCAGGTAGGAGCTACTGGTATACAGGGAGTAACTGGACAGGTTGGTAGTACTGGCAGCAAAGGACAGGAAGGCAGCAAGGGTGCAACAGGCGCTGTTGGCAATACTGGTGTACAGGGAGACAAAGGCAATGTTGGTGATACTGGATTGCAAGGTGAGAAAGGTCAGACTGGAAATACTGGCTCTACTGGTATTCAGGGTATGACAGGAGTTGTAGGGGACACAGGAGCACAGGGAAATGTTGGAGCTACAGGAATTCAAGGTACAACAGGATTGAAAGGTTCCAAAGGAGATGTTGGATTAGTTGGAAGTACAGGTGTTCAAGGCATTCAGGGTGATACAGGACTTCAAGGGATTACCGGGTCAGTTGGTGCCACAGGACTGAAGGGTCAGTTTGGTAATACAGGGGAGAAGGGACAGATTGGAGACACGGGAGTAAAAGGTTCCCAAGGCATTACAGGAGATTCTGGTCAGAAAGGAGATGTTGGATCAACAGGGCTTCAAGGATCAACAGGAGCAGTTGGTAGCACTGGTGTTCAGGGAAATGTAGGGAATACCGGACCAAAAGGAGATGAAGGCAACACTGGAGCCAAAGGAGAGCAAGGCATTGTTGGAGACACTGGTGTTGTAGGGTCAACTGGTAGCACAGGTCCAAAGGGTGAACAGGGACAAGTAGGCAATACTGGCATACAGGGTGTAAAAGGGGAAGACGGCAATACTGGACCTAAAGGTGAACAGGGAGTGGTAGGAAACACAGGAAATGTTGGAGCGACTGGTATTCAAGGTGTCACTGGTGTGGTTGGAGATACTGGTCCGAAAGGTACTCAAGGCATTACGGGAAGTACAGGAGCTAAAGGAGATGTGGGTGCAACTGGACTTGTTGGCGATACTGGTATCCAGGGAATCGCTGGTGATGTAGGCAACACAGGACCTAAAGGTAGCATAGGAGACACCGGTGTAAAGGGAGAACAGGGAATTCAAGGACAAAATGGAGATACTGGAACTAAAGGCCAAACTGGAAACACTGGTGCTACAGGCATTCAAGGAGTTGATGGTAATACTGGAGCTAAAGGACAAACTGGCAATACTGGTTTAAAAGGTGAAACTGGAGCTGTTGGAAGTACTGGCATACAGGGACCAGCAGGAAATACAGGTGTTGCCGGTGTTTCTGGCAATAAAGGTGCAACAGGAAATACAGGACCAGTGGGGGCCACAGGATCTAAAGGGGATAATGGACAGCAAGGAGATACTGGTGAAAAGGGAACTAAAGGAGATGTTGGCCTTACCGGAGATGTAGGATCCACAGGTCAGAAAGGTCAAACTGGAAATACAGGCATACAAGGTTTGACGGGTTTAGTTGGAAGCACAGGACAAAAGGGACAGGAAGGAGATGTTGGAAGTACTGGCCCTAAAGGTACAGATGGCAACACTGGTGCAAAGGGTGATCAAGGAGATGCGGGAGCTACTGGTCAACAAGGAATAACTGGAGATGTTGGCAATACTGGACAAAAAGGACAAACTGGAGTCGCAGGATCAAAAGGAGACCTTGGCAACACTGGGGCAACTGGACTTAAAGGAAGTGATGGCAGCAAAGGTGACCAAGGACAAACTGGTAACACTGGAATTCAAGGAGTATCTGGTGTTGCTGGTGATACTGGCGTCGAGGGTCAAACTGGTAATGTTGGAGCCACTGGACAGAAGGGCGAGGGAGGTGAAAAAGGTTCCCAGGGACAGTTTGGCGAGACTGGTATCCAAGGTAACAAGGGAGAAATGGGAATAACTGGACCAAAAGGACAAACTGGGATGACTGGTGTGCAGGGTCCAATTGGAGATAGTGGTATTAAAGGACAGACTGGCAGTATTGGTGCCACAGGAGAAAAAGGACAGACTGGCAATACAGGAGTTGTAGGTGCTACAGGAAATGTTGGCAGTACAGGGCCAAAAGGTCAGACTGGAAACACAGGTTCAAAAGGTGATACAGGTAGTGTTGGAAATACAGGTGTACAAGGACCCACTGGTAATACAGGTGATAAAGGTGACATTGGGGCTGTTGGAGACACTGGTGTGAAAGGACAGATTGGCAATACTGGACCCAAGGGATCAGTCGGTGACACGGGTATACAGGGTATGACAGGAGCTCAAGGATTAACTGGAAGTGTTGGTAACACTGGAGCAAAGGGCGATATTGGTAACACAGGACCAAAAGGATCAAAAGGTGAAGTGGGAAGCACAGGAGTACAAGGTCAAACGGGAATTCAAGGACAAACTGGCAATGTAGGAGCAACTGGACCAAAAGGTATTCAAGGAGTTGTTGGTGACACAGGTGTGAAAGGTGACCAAGGAAATGTGGGAAACACTGGAGCCAAAGGAGACACTGGTAATACTGGGGCGCAAGGAAATATTGGTTCTACTGGATCTAAAGGAGATAAAGGAGACCAGGGAATACAAGGGCAAACAGGTTTAGTTGGTATTACTGGTGACGTGGGTCAAACTGGAGACACTGGCGTCAAAGGAGAACAAGGTGACACTGGTAATACAGGCATTCAGGGACAGACTGGTCAGAAAGGAGACCAGGGACAGGAGGGAAATGTTGGTGATACTGGCTCCAAAGGTGACCAAGGAGACAAAGGACAAATGGGTTCAACAGGTAGCATAGGGAGCACAGGTTCAAAGGGACAAATGGGTAATACAGGAGTTCAGGGAAATAAAGGAAATATTGGGCAGACTGGACCTCAAGGAACAGCTGGAAACACTGGACAGAAAGGAGACACTGGTAACGTAGGGGCTACAGGAGTAGTTGGTGTCACTGGCAACACTGGACAAGTGGGAAGCACTGGTGTGCAAGGAAGTGTTGGAAACACTGGACCAAAAGGTGACCAAGGAGTGGAAGGAGACACTGGCGTTAAAGGAGAAAAGGGTCAGATTGGCGATACTGGAGTGAAAGGAAATGTTGGAGATACAGGAACAATGGGAATCCAGGGAGTGTCGGGAACTACTGGTATGACCGGACAGGTTGGTAATACTGGAGTAAAGGGAGACCTTGGTCCGGTAGGATCCACTGGTCAAAATGGTGAAACTGGACTTACAGGACTTCAAGGATCAACAGGAAACACCGGAGAAAAAGGAGGAAAGGGTGAAATTGGATTGTCTGGTGTAACTGGTAATGTAGGAAACACAGGAGAAAAGGGCCAAATAGGAAACACTGGTGCAATTGGTGCTACTGGACAGGTTGGAAACACAGGTGCTGTAGGAGCAACCGGTAATGTTGGAAACACTGGACCAAAAGGAAGTGATGGAAACACTGGACCAAAAGGTGATACAGGTGCTGTTGGGGCAACAGGTGTTATTGGCAATACAGGTGTTGCAGGTCAAACGGGTGCAGTTGGGAACACCGGTGCTAAGGGAAATGTTGGCGATACAGGACCCAAAGGACAAACTGGACAAGTTGGTGACACTGGCATACAAGGAGAAAAAGGTACCAAAGGAGATGCAGGTCCTGTTGGTGCTACAGGATCTAAGGGCGACATTGGCAATACTGGATCCACTGGTCTACAAGGAACAACTGGATTAACTGGTGCTAAAGGAGACAATGGCCAAAAAGGTGATACAGGTCAAACTGGAAACACTGGTTCAAAGGGAGATCAAGGAGATCAAGGGCTTACAGGAATTCAAGGACTTACAGGAGATATTGGAGACACAGGTCCTAAAGGTCAGACAGGAAATACAGGAGTTTCTGGTGATAAAGGAGAAAAAGGCAGTATAGGTTTAACAGGAGATGTTGGGAGTACTGGTTTGAAAGGAGACATTGGTATTACTGGTTCAAAAGGAGATGAAGGCTCTACTGGAGATGTTGGTGCTACAGGACCCAAAGGAAATGATGGAAACACTGGTCCCAAAGGAGCTACTGGTAATACTGGTAATGTTGGTGCAACTGGAATTGTAGGAAGTACTGGTAACAAAGGAGAAATTGGAGATACAGGTATACAAGGCGTGACTGGAGATATTGGAGCTACAGGACCTCAAGGAAGTATTGGCAACACTGGATCAACAGGACCAAAAGGTGATCTGGGAAATACTGGATCAACTGGACAAAAGGGTAGCAAGGGCGAGGACGGCCAGAAAGGAAATATAGGGAACACCGGACCAAAGGGAGAAACGGGTGCCACTGGTAATGTTGGCTCAACAGGTCTTAAAGGAGATCAAGGTGTCCAAGGACTCAGCGGAGTATCTGGTTCAAAAGGTGAAACGGGGGCTGAAGGGGCAACAGGTCCAAAAGGAAACCAAGGCGTCACAGGAATTCAAGGAATTGCTGGTAATACTGGTGCAATTGGCAACACTGGAGCAAAGGGCGACCAAGGAAATGTAGGAGACACAGGAATACAGGGACAGAAGGGAGATGATGGGGATATTGGTGCCTCGGGATTGACTGGTGCCATTGGAGCTACTGGAAGTATTGGTGATACCGGACCACAAGGTGTCAGTGGTAAGTTCGCTTAAAAATTAAGGTGGATACTTGAAATGATTACCTCAATAACTGTAGTCATGCATGCCATCCAAGTGAAGTTTAAATTTCTAGACTTCATATTGAGACTTGGATACTATTTGCAACAATTGATACCATACAAATGAGATAAACCAGTTATGATTGGTATCTATTGTAGCTAGGTTCAGGATTAATTAAAAGAAGCAATCATAATGTGCCTTGAGCAGGATTACATATAGGACTTAACCAAATACATTACCTATAACATCAGCTTTAGAATTAATGCATTGTAAATTCTTTAACGATTTGAATACAACACTTCATTTATTTCAGGTGTTACGGGCTTAGTTGGTGACACTGGACCAAAAGGTGATAAAGGTGATGTGGGAGACACTGGTATGACTGGCTTAGTTGGGGCAACTGGACCTAAAGGCGACAAAGGAGACATAGGAGATACGGGACCAATAGGTACAAACATCAAAATTGTATTGAAATATTAAAATGATCAGTTGCTCGTCACTTTTCGCAATGATCGCCAATACCCAACATTTAATTTTCATATTGCTTGTATTTTACAGGTCACACTGGCCCTGAACCATCGGGTAAGTAATAGTTAATTGTTGAATTAAGTCGTGACCAATTTCACTACTATCTTGGGTAAGGTTCAACATTTCCTGGACAAATGGATATTTATAGGGTTTTACTTTTCTGGTGGAAACTGTCCTTTCGATGCACTTGCCTTGGCAAAAAAGTGTCGTTTATAAAAAAAAAAACTGGTATGGGTAGACAAACAAATCTGAAGGTGTATCCACTTCTATTTGTTACTGAAACATTTCCAAGGCAAGCAAGTAATGAATGGATTTCAGGATATGTCTACCATGTTATGTGTTGGTCTGAATGTTGATTTACAGGTACTTAATGATCGTTATCATACTAGTACTTGCCAAACCAATAATCCTAAAGAACCTTCAGAGATGAAAAGTCGTCCCAATTCTTAACCCTAAGCATTTTTAGATTTCTTCAAACCTTAAAATATCACTTGAAACATTTGTTGCAGTTGTAAACAGCTGCTTGACTGGTAATGGAGGATGCCAGCATAATTGTCACAATATGTTTGGAGCCTATCATTGTAGCTGTAATGATGGATATACTTTAAATGCCGACGGCCACAATTGTGACGACATCGATGAATGCGCTGAATATGGACCATGTCCTCAAGTCTGCAGCAACAATGATGGTGGTTATACCTGTAGTTGTCGCACTGGATTTAACCTGCACAGCGACCAAAGAACCTGCATCGGTAATATTTATCCCAATCTTGAAACTAATAGATTCTCATTAGTTCACCTGATAAAATCGCTTTAACCTAATGCAGTTTCACTAGTGTCTGTTGGCATCCCAGCTGAAAGGTTCAGAGTGCTGGTATGTTTTCATCCTACACTACTTCTGTTTGGTATTATAATTGAGCAAACTGTAATGGATAATGCAAGTTGGCTTTGGATCATTCATTGCATTTGTTAAAACTCCCTTTTAGATTCTTTTAGAGGAAAATATTACCAATTTCAAATGGTTTAAATTGAAAGACTAAATTGGGAAAGGACACTAAAATGGGTTACATTTTCACTTTCATTCAAAAGATGACTAGATTACAACCAGCTGAGATGTTTATCATCCAGGGCTTAAAATTTCGTGGTTCCAAGCCTCTGCTGTTCTTTAAATGTCAGTATACAGTAGTTAATTCGGAACTACTTTTGCCGAGACTTATATGTACTTGCGTTGATTTTTTTCCGTAATAAATGTCAAATACGAGACTTCAAATGTCTCGTCTTTCCCACTAACCATTGCGAATGACAAGTCGGCCATATATACCAGCATGAAACACAATTTGCACCGAGGGATACGTTTTACCTCGGATCTGCTTGAATTTCCTCAATTAATGGTTGCTGCATGTATACAATGGAACACAATGGTGATGTGGAAGAGGAATTATCTTGCTGGATAAATCGAGCATAGACTGCAATCAGTAAGGAATTTTCATTTTCTTGATAATCTTGGGTTCTGTTCTCTGACTAGACAGATCTAGTGTTCAATCGGCACAACGTAGTTACCAAAAATTAAATAAAAACGGGCTTTACATCTATTTAAGAGAATAGGAGGGCTTCATTTGTGCAGAAATTGGGAATATTTAAAATGTAACGCCTTTAATTGAGGATATTCAATGTTGATGCAAAATTTCATGCGTAGACAAAACAATATTTCATGGATACAGAATTAAATCTTAAAATGAGCAGAAATGTAGATGCCCTGCCTAATTTGATTTAAAATAAACTTTACTTTTTGTTAAAATGGGATGCATTACTTTTAAAAGAGTTCTAATATTCTACAATTTTCTTGCAGACATAGATGAATGTAGCAATGTTACCGTTGCGTTGGAATGTGCACAAACCTGGTCATTGTGTGTGAACACACCAGGATCATACATATGTGTTGGTATCAGTTTAACCAGATTGTCCAGCTTTCAATCAAGTGGTAGGTACAACTGACTAGTCTACTGCATTGCACATTTCAATTCCTATGAATTAGTTTTACTATTTGAGACCATACAAGATTTTGAATTTGTTTAATAGTATTGCAAAGTAAAATGGAAATGCTGTATAATCACAGGAAAGGAAATTGTTAATGTTCTTTTGAAGGCAAATTTTTAACTGGTGTAGGCATGCTATAAAAGTCTATTCACTTTATGTTAAATATAGTTGTCAAATTGTTTAACATGATCTACAATTTGCTTCTAGATGGTAAATCCTGTCAAACTGACAATGGTGGATGTGATCACATTTGTACACAATCGACCAATGGGCATCAATGTTCCTGTCATCCTGGCTACCAAATTGATAATGAAGAGGGTCTCGCCTGTGTGGATATCGACGAGTGCGATAGTTGGCCATGTCAGCAAACCTGTGTTAACACAGAGGGCTCCTTCCATTGCAGTTGTGATGAAGGCTTTGAACTTGCTCCAGATGGACAAACTTGTCAAGGTGATTAGGAAGTTTCAAGGGAAACCCAATCTTTTTGTAATTCAGCAAAATGTATTATATGGTTAGTCTCTGCTAAATTTGCAATGCAAACTGATTCAAGAAGAATTAGTTGCCAGATAAATACATAATTTTCCAATGTCTTGTAACAATGTCAAATTCTTTTCAGTGAGGAATTCTTGCTCTGATGGAAGTAATGGAGGATGTGATCATGTCTGTCTGCAGCTGTATGGAGCACGCAAATGCTCCTGTAGACAAGGTTTCAAGTTATCTTCAGATGGCTTCACATGTGATGATATCGATGAATGTTCAATATATCGTCCCTGTAAACAAGTTTGTGCGAACATGGAAGGTGGATTCGACTGCAGCTGCTTTCCAGGCTTTAATCTTGATGCTAAAACTAATGAATGCAGAGGTAAGTTATCGATATCGATCTAATCCTATATAGTTGCATGGAAGTTCCATTTACCTAAATCGAATTTTTGAAACTGTAATTTGAAATTTGCTCAATTCTAGCCGTTTAGAATTCCCAATGACTTCCAAAACAAATCCGTAACAAATTGTAAATCTGATGCTGTATCTTTTAAGTTAGCTTCAGTGATAACCATATGGTTTTCTCGCATGCCTTTTTTTCCCCAATGAACCAGATAACATACCATTTTAGTCCAACTTTTGGCTGAATGTTACCAACTTGGTAATGCTGTGTATGGACACAACTTGCTATTTCTCGACTCGGCAAACACACCTTTTAGACCTGCTCAAGCTTATTTCTTGTGCAATAAACGCAAACAAGCTAGCTTTAAAATTGGTGTTTATCTGCATCTTCATTCCAGATATAGATGAATGTCTCGATCAGGAATCCTGTCCTGATTATGGGTACACCTGTGTCAACACTGCCGGTTCTTTCAGCTGTGTAAATCTTCTAAGAAGCAATTTGAATGATCTACAGGAAGGTTAGGAATTGAATTTTTTCATTTCTCATATGGTGCAAATTCATGTCCAAATCTTGAACAGTTCATGTTAAATGTACATTATTGGGTATCAAAATGTCTCACAATTACTGCATAAGCTGCATTATATCTTGCAGATTATGAGATGGGAATGGACGATGATCCAGGCAGCGAAGCACTCACCCCAGCAGAGATTAAAGCATCCACTTTATCAAGCTCTCAAATGATGATTATCATTGGCGTAATGGGGGGAATCATCCTCCTTGTTGCAGTTGGTGCAGCTATAGGTTGCATGATAGTGTATCAACGTGTGGAAGTCAGTCGACGCAAGGATTCTTTGGCTGGCCTCCTTGTTCCTCCATCAAACATGCGTAGTGCTTCGACCTGTGGTGATGTAGAGGCACCACCACCAGGGACATTCAATCCCTAGTACAAGTGGACTGAAACCAAAAATTTGACTTGTTACATTAGATAAAACATACTTCGTTTTTGATCTCTTTACTGTTTTTGATCGCTTTACTGGACAATCAAATAACTTGTTGTTGAAAACTAAATGTCATTCAACCATAGTGCTAATTATGAAGTTTCATTTGAAACTGAATTTTACCTTTTCCTTGTGAAATGGCTGCTTCTGTTGGTAATGTGATGAATTTCCATTTGGAAACTGATTTATATCGAGCAGATTGGCAAAACATCAAGTTTGATGCATAAAGCAGCAATCTTTCTGTAATAAAAATGTAATAAAAAAATTGTGTCTATTTTCAATAGTTCTATATGAACTTTGCCTACTTTTAGTATGTAAATAGAATACTGAAATGACAACTTTCCAAGAAAATGACTGGTACTATACATGAAGTAAAATTGTAACACCGCTCAAGGAATCGGGGTTAATGTGATGGCCAGTTTGTGCTGTATAATGACAAGTTGGTAGGCATGAAGTCGGACACAATCTTGCCATCAGATTAGCCCCATGTTGATCACCATTTGAAATCAAAATATTGAAAATGTTATTGGATTGCTGTATACCCCAGTAACAAATGCATGTAAAATATATTTCTGGTCCTACTGATGTGAATTAACTGATCCTGTAGGACATCTGTTCATATTTTGATAATTAGTCCAGCATTGCTTGTTGTATTCGAATATTCATTGTCGAAGATTCTTGATTCAAATCGTAAATCTTCAGAAACCTTCATCAGAGCTTTGAACTTTAATTAGCATTGCAGTTGGTTGGGGCTCAAACAGGTGGGTAGATCGGTTAAAAGTAATTGGAATAAATTGTTTTAAAATTTCTAATTTGGAGGCCAATTCAGAAGGGTTGCATGTAATTTAATGAAGTGGCAAGTATGTTGAAATGTATGAAGGAAGCTCCAACACCTTTTACATTGCATATGTAATCTGTATACCATTTCCTGTTTTAGATATTGATGAGTGCTTAAATACTACAGTCTGCACGGACAATTGGTCGCAATGCGTCAACAACTTGGGATCTTACATCTGCATCTCCATCTCCATCCGGCTGAGGTCCTTTTTCTCCAGTGGTATGCATCAAAACCATACATAAGACGTATCTGAACATCTGAAGCATGCCTTGCCAGCAGTGTTTGATCTTAATAGAAGCTTTGTATTTGTTCTAGTGCCTTGTCTTGCCATATTTAATGTAACTGCCATTTTTAGTTCCTTGCAAATACATGTAGCTTATGTAAAATGGTATCTCATCAAATAAGTTTTATTTTTGCCTTCTCTGCACCATAAGTGTTGAGATTCAACTTTTGACATGTAAGTGAACATCTGTTCTTGAGTACAGAACTGCTATTAGATAAAATTGGTATCTATACTGCTGAAGATATCGGTTGATATTGAAAAGTTCTTGGGACATTAGAATGTGATGCCAGTGCTGGCAATATTAATGTATGTATGTTGTCTTCAGAGGTTGTGTCTTGTGAAAACAATAATGGTGGCTGCTCACAAATTTGTACGGAAGTCAGTGGTGGGTACGAGTGTTCCTGTCATGAAGGATACGAACTGGACGATTCGGGCCATGGCTGTTTGGACATCAATGAGTGCAAGAACTGGCCATGTCAACAGATATGCAACAACAATGAAGGCAGCTACACATGTAGCTGTGATGACGGTTTCCAACTTGGTGAGGATGGACAAACCTGTACAGGTATGTCACTGGTTAAACTTTGGTAATTTGGTAATTGGGATAGTGCTAACAGTCGAATAGGATACTTCATTTGCAGTGTGAAATGAATCATTAAAATTGTTTCTATTTCAGTGAGGAACTCTTGTTCAGATGGAAGCAATGGAGGTTGTGATCAAATCTGCCACCAGCTGTATGGCTCTCGTTTATGCGACTGTGGACAGGGATACAAGTTATCATCGAATGGTGTCACATGCGAAGATATTAACGAGTGTACCATTTATGGACCATGCTGCCAAGCCTGTAACAACACTGTAGGAGGATTTCATTGTAGCTGCTATGAAGGATACAGAGAAAATGGCACAAACATTTGTATAGGTAATTTATTAAATTTGTATGGTACATGCCTCGTCCAACTTAGCAAAATTCATTTTGCTCATTTCTAGCTTTATCTGGCCAAAATGGCAAATGAAATCCTGCTTCTGCACGAATGATTGGATTTTGACCAAATTTGGTCAAACATTCCTGAGTAAAGAGTAATCAGTTGCCATTTGAACGATACAGGCCTGATGCATGCCTCTATAAACGATTAAATTACAATCTACGTTTTCTAATTCGGTAAACCTTGATAATACTAGGTCATAATTGGGATTAATCGATTGAACAATGTTTACAAAATACCAATACTCTTGTCCTTCCAAAGGCATCAATTTGAAGTGAATGTCCAATTTTGAGAATTTCGCATTAGTAAAAGCATGACGATAAACTTGCATGCTGTTAATGATGTAATGTATTTTGATTACTTGTAAAGCAGAACATGCGACCTAATTACACATAATTTATAACAATTTTGAAATATTGCTTACTATGATCTTTTCAGATATTAATGAATGTGAAGAAAATGATCAGCTATGTGATCCGAACTCTGCATGCCTCAACTGTCCAGGATCTTACAGCTGCGTTTCCCTCATTGTTGTTGCTGAGGATGACCCACATTCGGATTCAGAATTTCTAGACGGTATCACGAATCTGATTTGTATTCGATTCTTGGGGCGTTTAAGCTTAATTATGAAACTAAAAAAAAAAATGAATCTTTATCAATGCAACTGTTCTGTCAGTCTTTCAATGGGGATGAGTTTATTTTCATAAAGCTGCTCTCGCTTGTCAATTGTAATTAAAACTTTAACCCTTGGACCAAAGAATTTCAAATGCACTTTTTGGCAACCCATCCCTAGAAATTAGAAATATTTAACTTGTCGAAATTTTAGGTTAACATTTGAAATGCCATTGCTTAATGCACCAAATAAGTTTTGATCTATTACAGACCAAGTAGTGGGAAGTTCCGATACAACACCTGCATCTAAAGAATCTGGTCCCACTAAGGAAGAGTCCATATCTGCCAGTACCCAGCTGATTGTGATAATCTGCGTGATGGGTGGTGTTGTATTGCTCCTAATTGTTGCTGCTGCGGCTGGCTTTATGATGTTGTTTAAACACATGGATAGAAGGAAGGACATGAAAGATCCAGGATCCCATTATAACAGGCCCCGATCTGGTGATGTTGAGTCTCTACCTAGAGGGGGATCTTGTGTTGGAGAACAGAGGAGCTACACTTTCAACCCGTGATTTCATAGTGCTATTTTAAGAACTTGATGCTCGAGATTTGGACTACTTACGAACTTCAGCTCATAGAGAAGTGCTAATGTGTATTTTTAGAACTAGAAACACTAGTTCTAGTGAAATCGCTTTTTGCTTTTGCCTTTAAGATTTTCAGACTTTGTCGTCGCAATACTACAAAGGAATTTCACATCTGGTTGAGTTTCATAGTAAATGCTTGACATGATTTCTTCGCTTGTTTTTATTTTTTACATTCAACTGACAAATATACTGAAGGCTCTGTAAAAATTTCAAGCCTGTTATTTAAAAATTTGTTTCAAAATTGCATAATGTGAAATCAAGGTTTTTGAAAACATACAAGTACTTTTACGAACTTAAAACTTGTCAGTGGCCATATAAATGCAACAATCCAGAAAGGCAATGAAACCACTTGCCATCTAGTTAAAAGCCATCAATATTCTCTGTAAAATATAATTGGGTTATCGAACAACTTAAAGGTAAATTGAAATTGCCACGTGTACGAGGGTAATCTCTTGGACAGATTTCTTTCCTACCTTCCCTCCATTCGGATTTTGGAAAATTTGTTGATGGATCTTGGCACAATTTAAAAAATGACTTGACATTGAATCACAACTTCGTTCCTGAATGATTGATCTTGTCAGATATGTCTCAATTGGTCATATCCAAGTACCTGACATTGTGACTTATCAGGATTTTCTGCCCCATAGATTGTTTATCATAGCAACTATAAGTTATGCATAGTCCCTGTGGATAAGGAGGGAACCAAATTATGGAGGCCAAGTACAATGGAAGTCCGTACATCAGCAACTTTGATCTTTTGCATTGGAGGAAAGAACAGCAACATGGTGATAATCGCTCAGATTGCTTAGTCCAACTTGACACAAAGAGGCACTTGCTGTAGAATGGTGGAACCATGCTAGCAACTAGGCAGAAGTTTATAGGAAGATTGTCAAGATGGGAGGTTTTTGGTCCTTGATGCCTTGGGTACACATAACTCGCTTCATCTGAACCTAGCGAAAATCTTTCGGACAAATCCGAAAACAGATTTAGTTCATAGGGTGTAATGCGAGTAAATTAATGGGTTTTTTTAAATGTTGCATGTCAAATGTACTGGATACCCATTATTAATATTGGAAGATGTAGTGTTATTGGGTCTTGCTGCCATTAACTAGGATGAAATTCAACCATTATCATAAAGCATCAAATTTTAAAGGGACTGTCACAGGGTCAAGAACAGAGGTGGTTTTAGATGGTTTTATTCCTATGAATTTAGTCATTTAGGTTAAATGTCCATTTTATGAAGTGAATCAAACTGAGTATAACAACCAAATGAAGCTAGACGTAATCATCTGGACAAAGACGTCTTAAAATTCTGATAATCATACTGACCTGATAATTATACAAATAACTGGAAATTGCATTCAAAGCGAAAATTGAACAGAATATCTAAATGACCAAAGAGTCGTTTACTTGACCAGAATTTGAAAAAGCATTCTTTAGTAATGAATTTTAATTCATAGTGGAGTTGGATGGTCCTTGTTTACGTAACCATCCACTTGCTGGCAAATATTAAAAGATGAAAAATGCTAGTTATCAAATACTAAATCTATTTAATGTTTAATTGAAGTAATTTTCGTTGGCATGGAAAAGGGCAAGTTTCTTCAGAACAATTTTTTTAAAGTTTCAATACTACAGCATTGAAACTTAATACTAAGTTGCAGGTTGTACCAGGCGAGGTATGGGTTGTACTATATGGTTAACATGGATTTGGAACACCGGGATTTGAGGATTGGCAATAACGTTATTTTCAGATTAATAAGTATGATTGGTCGATGAACTGTTTGGTCTGTCTGTAATATATTCTCATTAAGTCTTTCTTGAAAGTAATGGATACATCTTTCTAAGTTTCATGTGTCGGTTACCTGGACCATTCGTGTCGGTTACCTGGACCATTCGTGTCGGTTACTTGGACCATTCGTGTGTCGGTTACCTGGACCATTCGTGCCCTTTTGATTTTGAGGATGATCAAAAAAATAAAATGGATGACTGCTGACCATTTATTATTCAGCAGTTAAAAATTGTACTAGCTATTTCTTATAAGGGATTTTCAAATTTCCTATAAGAGCAGGAAAGAAGGGAAATGATCAAACATTTTAGAAAAAAAATGAACTTAAATATAAATTTAATGCATATCGGCGTGGAAAATGATTTTAGAGCATTATTGATATAATTTCCATTACAAATTATTCAAACTTGGTTCGAGTATCCGATGACAGTTTGATGATTTGCACATATTGACCCTCACTGACCCCCAGGGGCTGTTGGGCGAGGCCACCGATTTAATTTTTACAACAAATCTATGGTTAGATCCTTAACATGTCGGTTAATTTTATGCCCGTTTTACATTGATGTTTAATGAATTCAAATGAACTTTGAAAAGTCCCTTGGGGCTCTCGGTTTTATCGATGTTTATGTCTTAAGATTTAAATTGTTTTTGTATTCACATTGGGATACTGAGACTGAGTATGGACTTGTTTTTCTTTTATCTTTCATTGAGACAGCTTGATGCAGAGATGAGCAGAATCATTCCAGTTCAAATTCAAAGCAAACATTTCTTGACTGTTTAGTTGAATATTTGTTATAAACTAAAGTTCGATCAAAACAAATGATAAGCTGTCATAGTTGAGGTCAAATACTAAATCTTATAAATATTCATTTGTGAATAAGACATTTGAAAAGAATCAAAGTGTATTATATTTAAGGTCATTAGTATCAGGTCAGTGTCAAGTTTTAAGTTTCAAATGTTTTGAAATTGTATTATAGTCATAGTCTGTTATTGAAATCAAATAATTTGCATGATACATTGTACATGTGAAAATGACAGCGGACATGCCTACATTACATACATGTAACATTGTTCATAAATATTTCATAGCAATTTCTATAAAGTTTGTTTTCGAGGGGTTTTTTAAAGAGGAGGAAAAGGTATATCACACTGAAATATAATTGCTCTACAGGCAAGATTAGACTACATTTTAATATCAGATGAATTACTACCAAGATTAACAGTGTCTCCCATTGAGCCAGCATATCACTCTGACTGTTCCATGTTGATAAATCTTTGTTTCACTAAATTTCAAAAGGGGGATGGGGGTTATAGAAAATTAATAATTCACTACTTTGTGTTTCTGAATACTTGAATACCGTCAGAGTACTGATTGTAAAAATAACATATGCTTTACCAATATGGAAACTACAGAGGATATTCCTTTGGAGGGTCTGATGTTGGTTTTTAATGGTTAGCTCCCTTTAGAGACTTCATTGTTAGAAATTAACAAGATTATTTCATACTCTTACTAAAAAGAAAATCTGGGCCCGTATTCATGAAACTGCTCTCATGCACAAGCATGAATTTTGTGCTCAAACCTTATATCTTGTTTAAGTTAAAAAATAATAAATAAGGCTGATTTTGCCAAAGATTAAAAACAAATTTTGAAAGGACTTCAAGTCAAAGTAATATGCAATATTTATATTTGACATTTGTATTATTTTATAAATGATTTAGGTGAATTATAAAAAAGTTTGCTCGAGCACAAAATCTATGCTTGAGCATGAGAATGGTTTCATGAATACGGGCCCAGGAATGATTCTGAGAACAAGTTAATTAAATATATTCAGAAATTCAGAAGCCAGGATACGTTCAGTTGATGGTGAGTTGGATCGTCTCAATTTAAAAATGCAAAAACTTGAAAAATTAAGACAAATATCAGTTAAATGGCAATATGATATGCTCTCGAGCAGTACAGATTTGTGAAGGTGAAAAGCCAACTCAATTTTTTTTGTGGACTTGAATCTTGAAACAAGTAAAATTATTTCAAATATAGAAAAAGATAATGGTTCAGTTATCTTAGAACAGAAAGAAATTGGAATAAAATTAACTTTTCTATGAAAAGCCTATACAGAAGAAATAACTGTAGAGGTTATGATTCAAACTTGGAAAAATAATTAGGTTTATATGATATACTTGGATTCCCTTAAATCATTACATTAGAAGAACCATAGAGTATTTTGGAAAAAACTTCATTTCATTGTTAGGTCAATTAACTACAGTTACTGAATATCAGGAATGTTAGTTACACAAAAGCAAGATTAAAAGATTGGCGCCTCGTTACCTTACATAATACCATATACAAGTTGGCATCTGGCACAATAGCAGAAAGATTTAAAATTGTCATAACTAAAATAACCAGCAGCAATCAAACTGGCTTTAAAAAAATGACATGCCTGGTCTTTTATTGTTAACTGACTTTGAAAAACTTTTGACTCTGTTTCTGAAGATTTCACTGCAAAATCTTTGAATTTAAAAATTTGAACCGTCAATCATTAATTGGAACAAACTTTTTTCAAAAAGATATTTACTCTGTGGTTAAAATAGGGGACAATTTATCTGATTTTGTGGCTATTGAGTGCAGATGCCGATGACCTTTTCTCCTCATGCTTTTATGTGCTGAAATTTTATCAGTTTTATTGAAAAATAATTCTGAGATCAGAGGCATTGGTGTAAATAACAAAAAAACCTCTTTATCCCAGTTTGCTGATGATACATCTGTGATTCTTGATGGCTTAGAAAAATCTTTGAATGCTACTCTACAAAAAACTTAATTATAATGCCAGAATTTCAGGTCTCAAACTGAATTTCACCAAGATCCAGGTAATTTAGATAGGCAACAGAAAATATTGTAATGATAAATACAAATCAGAACAGTCTTCCATGGGGCAGTTCAAAGTTTAATCTTCTAGGTATATAATATGATGTTCACTTACATAGAATAGTAAAATTAAACTTTGATCTGAAAATTGTTAAAGTGAAATCACTTATAAGTTTGTGGAGCCAAAAAAAATTCTTATTTCACAATTTAATCATCTCATTATAGCTCAACCAAACCCATAGTGCTCTTATATAAAAAAAACCCAATGATATATTGTATAACTTTCTATGGTGGAGAAAAACAGATAAGGTTATCCCTTATGTCGTAATTAAGTCATACAATGAAGGAGGTTTGAAAATGCTTTGTGTCAAAGGAACGTGGTTAAGGCAGATCTATAAAGAGATGTTAGCTGGATGTGCATTACAGTTAAATATGTTAATAAGTTTTCATTTGAAAATTATG